GGGACGCATGGGCTTTGACTCTCTTAGTGGTGCATTCAAGGCCAGTGTGTCTGTGGCCATGGGACGATGGAATTGGGACAGATGGTTGGCCGATCAAATATTTATCACTTTGCTGTGCACTCAGCCTGTTCTTTCAACCAGGAAAATGCTTTGTTTGCCGGGAGTGGTGGTGGGGCAGGGGGTGGAGGGGGGGGGGAAAAACCCATTGACAAAGACAACTGGATTACTGTATACGTGTGTGTTGTTTTTATGTGCATGGCAATATGAGAAAATACCCCGGCAAATTTATTCCGAAAATGAAGGCATAATGCAACCGTGCGGTAACATTAAGATTGCCATGACGCAGCACTGCATCTTCATTCAGACTGAGTAATGCAAGGCCCTCTGGGAAAGAATGCCTGAGGGAAACTCAGGGAAGACCGGCACATTTTAGGCCATTTTTTTTCCCTACCTATGAAAAACAAGCAAATAAATAAATGAAGCCCAGTCAGAATGAACAATTTCAAAAAAAAAAAACTTGCTTGAAGCAAATCTAAAGTTTTGGATTTTTCTGTTTTTTTTTTTCGATATGTATTTCCGAATAACAATATGTTGTCCGTTTTTGAGCTTAAGTTTGATAAGCCCTAACTCAGCGGCATGCCCTTGCACTATTTAACTTATATTTTTATTTATTTTAACTTATTTTTTTTTAAGACTGTTGTTTTGGGATGTGTGTTTAAGAAGAACCAAAAAAAAAAAACAAACCCAAAACAAAACAAAACAAAAAAGAAACAAGTTCAAAAAGAAGCGCTTAATATTACAATTTGCTCTTACTTGTCATCTATTACATTGTAGTTTTTAAAAGCAGCATTATGTCAATAAAGTCATAATTAGGAGAAAAGTGACTGTTGTTCTGCCATACATCAATTAGGTAATAGTCTCAAATATGTGTTAAATGCACAATACGTCTTATCCACGGTGAAACAAACCCAACAAATCATTTTCTCAGTACTCGTGGTGTCGCAGATTTGTTCAACTTTTGAGGCATTGTCGTACATTATTGGTCCAACACAAACAACTTTTGGGGAATTAGATTTAAAGTGTTCAACTGTACATTTTCTGCACTGTAATATTACAACAATAATTCAAGTAACAGTACAGCAGCTCTTTTTATCATGTCATTATTTTCTTGTTTCCTTCTGTGTGGGACAAATATTTAACTTCTACATATGTAGCTCTTGAACCTGGACTGGTGAAACAAACAAAAAAAAAAGACCTGCGTACATAGCCTTAAACATAATCAGAGAAGCAGTGGCTATGGGTAACAAGGAGAACACCAAAATAAGCAGTTGTTACCGATAGAGAACATAAAACCGATGTAGGCGTCTCTCTCTGGGGAACTCAAATACGCCAAATAATGATAATCTCGTACTTCATCTCACTTCAAAGAAATCTCAGCTAAATTCTAAGCTTCTCGTTTCCATCGCCACCCTCCCGCGTCTTTTGATGCACGTCATCCCTCTTTTGCGTAAATTTGTTCGAAAGAAAAGACAAGAAGGAATTCAGGTAAGTGAAAAGATTTGTCTGTACAGTTTGTATCATGAGATCGAGTGAGAAAGGAAGAAAAACGGAGGGAAAAAAAACCTATGTACAAAAATAAAAATGGCTGCACAGTCTACAAGTGTCAAACTGCAATGGTGACTAATCCATTTGTATGAATTTGTAGTTCACGCCACAAGGACGGTCTGACGAGCATTCACATTTTTAAAGTGCTGTCAATGACACTTTAATTTTGCTGGAAATGTGAAGTTAGCGGTTCAATGGGAAACTATGAAGAAACCTTGGTCGTGATCACCCATATATTGTCATTGTTGTTTGCAAAAGTGAGTAAGCAGTTCATTTTTGAGACTTGTAATTTAATTATGTTGAAAAAGCTCAACGGATGGCCACAGATGTGACATTTTGATAAAATCACATCTGAAAGAAGTTTGATGTTTTTGGATTCCAGCCACTCCAAAGAAAATCACAACGTCATGTCCGACGACTCCCAATTATGAATGACGGCATCATTCGTGCCACTTGTTTTACGGGTTTCATCTGGTGTTTTGTACTGCAAAAACCAACAAACTTCCACTTCAGTATAATACAACACAAAGTGTGACAACAACACTTCACGGATTCACTTTGGAACCTTGGTTTATGATTGCTTTGGTAGATGCACTTTATATTTATCCTCTGTGTATACTCTCCACTAAATGAATTCAAATTTAGCATACAAAGTGCCAAAAACAAATGAAAACAAAAGTACTCAAGCATTAGGTGGACCTCTGCCAAGGTTGAAGCATTTGTCATCTACAAAAGTCAGTGGCTGAACTGAGACGACCGCGCGATGGAAATGTTGCTACCATGAATCCAAAAGAAAGTCAGAATCAATAAATCTTTTTTTTTTTTTTTTTTTTTTTTTTACAGCCAGTGTTGTCCTATTTAAGTCCAAAATGGGATTCTCTCAACCACCAGAAATGATCAGATGAGCATGTTCGATTTGCCAAGTCTGAATGAAACCTGGTTGGAGAGATTTCAATACATGAACACATTTTTTTCTCTCTATTTTGAAAAGATAGGGATATTTGTCTTTCGGGTGAAATTTCAGGATGACACTAAAATGCATTCAAACCTTTCCAGGTGAACTTAGTGTGACCTTCTCTAAGCTTTTGAATGCACATGTCCAACTGTTAAATGTTTCAGAACTTTTTGCACAAGTTGCTGTTTTCCAACGAGGAGGTTAACGGCAAAATTCACAAATGGTGTTTGATCCTTGTATCAACCAATAAATGTCCTGATTCAATTAGAGCTGGTGTTTCAACAGTCGGCCTCATCGCTGTTCACATTTTGAGACAACACCAAGCAGTGGATCAACAGTATCTTGCCATTGTGATGCTTCAAACAAGGCGTTCTCAGATGGAAGTGGCTACTGAGTTTAGAGTGTCACAAAGTGTCATCAGCAGGTTGCAACAGAGATACCGAGAGACTGGAAGAGTCACAGAAAGATGTACAAATGGTCATCCTTTGGCCACATCCCATGGTGATGACCTCTACATTGTGAACAATGCTCTGAGGAACCGGATGATGAATGCCACTCAACTCCAGGCACAGTTAAGAGACGTGAGAGGCACCCAAGTGTCACGTTAGACCATTCGAAACCGTTTACATCTTCGTGGTCTGCATACTGGATGACCTGCAAGGGTACCTGACCACAACACCGGGCACAGGCGTCATCGTCTTGCTTGGGTCGGGGAGCAGGGACGAACAACCAGTGGGCATCAGTGCTATTCTCTGATGAAAGTCGACTCATGTTGAGCAGAAATGATGGCTGCTAACGATGTTGTAGACGTCAAGGAGAGTGCTCTGGGCAGGTGTGTCCAGACGGTACAGAACCTCTCAGCACTTTTTGAATGGTACAGTGACAAACCCATACTACCTGAATAACATTATTAATCCAGTAATTGTGCTCCTACACGAACAACACGGGCCTAATTTCATCTTGATGGACGGCAATGCTCCAGCTCATAAAGGTCACATCGACAGTCTGTTGAAGAGCGGTGTCCCTCAAATAGATTGGCCTGCACTTTCTCCAGATCTGATTCCTATTGAAAACCTGTGGGATCATCTGAGTCGCCGTGTAGAAGCTCGAAACTCTGCACTCCAGAACCTCAGTGCCCCGAGGGCTGCCGTTCAAGGAGAATGGGATGCCACGCCTCGGCGGACAATAAGTCGACATGCTCAAGGGCACATGACGAGTTCTGGAGACGTTGACATTTTTTGTTGTGGCGTACTCACCATTGCTGTTAACTTTTGTTTCAGTGAATTACTTGAGGTGAGGAAATTAACCAGTGCATCCTTCTACTTAAATGTCCGACTTTCATGATATGATATCACTGCGGTGTGACCTTTTTTCCATTCATTTCACCTGAAAGCCAAATATTTTTGTGAGTCGAGTATATTACATATTGCAGTGACTTACACATTTCACGATAACCAACACAATTGAGCACTTTTTCAGTTGAACGTTAGATTTTTAGATTTCACTTTGCAATTTCACAAATCAGACTTTTTTTTTTTTTTTTTTTAGTGTGACGACAATAAAATGAAATAAAATAAATATTAAAAATCAAAGTTGGGTAGCTAGGTCGGTGAAAATAACCATGTTAGTGGAGGTCAAAAAAAAAGAAAGATTCACTCAATGTAAACTCAAGAAAGATGACTTTGGAAAACGTGTCTCCCTTGATAGGCAGTAGAAGCTTAGCGTCCAATTCCTGTTCCGTCAGTAACACTCACTACGCACAGCAATATAACCACAAAAATAAGAATCAGTATTGACAATATGTTTACATTTCATTCAACATGTATGGCTGATAATTTCTGATGCAGCACAAGTTAGTTTACAGTCTGCGTTTGGTTCCACCATAGAAAACGCGCCACGCCACTTCTACAGAGGAGCTGATATACAATAAGCCTATCTTGCTTCGTCAGCACTTGAATTGACAACACTTCAAATAGGCCTCAAGGCAAAGTCGATACACGTTTTTTTTTTTTTTTTTTTGGGACAATGAGAAATATTGTTGTCTCTTTCAGATCCAGAAAATAATTTACAGTCATATACAATATGTACACTGATCATCTTTCATCAGAGCGCCAATGTAAAAATCAAGACTTGAGTTTGGTTGAAAACGTGGTCCTCAGCCCTTCTTTATCTTCCGCCTCTGTGGCCCAAATAAAACGCTTCCTCTAAACGTATTTGCGGGCATGTGGAGAAAGGCAAGTTTTGCTCCACCTTGGCAGGAGAGAAGTAGCAACAAGCCGAGGTAGGGGGTCGGTGATGGGTGTACTGCAACACCGGAAAAACCTCGTGCACATTGCAGTCATTGTGCTTGAAACTGCAGTACGTGAAAGAGCAGCGGGAAAGTGGCTCCCACTTGTACTCTTTCTCTCCAACACCGGTAAGAATTATACTTTTTTTTTTTAAGAATGACAATCTTTAAACACTGTATTTGAAAACAGACCAGATTATCAAACAAAAGCCTTGCGGTCTCACTTTCCATGAATCAGCCGAAAAATTCCATCTGGTAAGTCAGTTCAAACTCCATGCTTGGGCTGTCTCTGTGTTGGCAAACATAGCTCCTGTGGCACGACTCAAGATTACGAAAAAAAAAAGACAAGAAAGAATGTGTGATGAAGCAACAGGGCAGTATAAGGCTTCTTGACCCACACTTGAGTACAGAAGTCTGAAAAGAAGTCTTCACGTGGTCAAGCCAGCCGTCTTCTGCACCTTCACAAGAACACACAGTTTCACACCGAAGGCTGGTTCGCACCCTGTTTCAACGCACTCCCTCACATCCTGACTGTCAGACATGGGTCTGCATGCGCTTCTGGAGTGGCCGGGTAAGGTCTGAGTTCTGCGATGAGGACTGGGAGTAGTGGGACGACGAGGAAGCCGACGCCTTGCTGTCTTTGTCAAACTGCACGTAGCCGTCCGGCTTGCTGTAGCTGCTGACGCTGCTGTCGCACTGCGTGTCGATGAACGAACTGGAATCGCTTAACGAGCCACGTTGGAACTCCCGCTCGCACAGCTCAATGGAGCTGCTGCCCATGCCCAACACAAAGCGTTGGCTGTAGTCATACAGACGATTGGGGCCCGCTCCCAGCGTGGAGTAGATGTTGGTGAAGGACATGCCCGTTGGGACCCGCTGCTTGCCCAGGGTGCTTGTGTTTGTCGGATTCCTCCCATCGGCGGACTGGTTCCCCACCACGGTTGGTGTCGGGTGCTCCTTGAAGGTATTGACGCTGTAGTAGCCATTCGTGGGGTCCTATTGGGAAAGGGAAGCGGCATGTAAATGTTTCTGATGTAGGGTGGCTGTCAAAGCAAATTAGAATGCGGAACATAAAGTCGAAGCCCTTTTTTTTTTTTAAGAGTGTGTGTCTGCTTAATTGTTGTCTCCTCAAAGCTCAACAGAAGCGGCGGTCAAGCGCGTTGTAATTACCATTCAAGAGGGCAAAAAAATGAGGACACATGCTGCAATGTGAATCATTGGGATTTAGTCAGCCCCATTCTAACCTTAAAATCATGCTTCTCGCTAATTAAACAGGCCTGATGATTCACAGTTTGCTATGCAATGTGTCACCGCCGAGGTCAATCATACACCCGTTTTAATTGGAGCCAAACACCGTGCGGTGTCTGTAAAATCAAGCGGGCCCCGCACTGAAACGGCTTTTGTGCCTACAGTGGTGCCATCGTTGGCGCACTCGGCTGCAGGCGCCGCGCTGTCACCAAGGGTCCAGTTAGGGCCACAGGCGCGCATGTGTGTTTCCCTCATGCGAGCGGATGTGAATGACAAGCCTGGTGAGAGGCAAATCCCAAAAGAAGAGCGCTCATTAATGGGGTAAATGAGAGCAAGCCACCGCGAGAGGATCCTTGTTCGGCGTGTCGGCATCAGACGGCGGACAAGGGGGATTGTTTGCGTCTGTTCTTTAGGACCCGCTTGGCCTTCACGCCTGTTGCCATTAAGCGTTGTGGGAGAAAAATGAAATGCAGCCCCGGAGAAAAACAAGAGAGCAGGTAAATATGGCAAAAACACACCAGGGAGTCTCAGCCAAAACTCTTGGGAGTCGGCAAATTCTGCAAAGGCCACACTGGCAACCAGTGGGAAGCTGCAGTGACTATCTTGGCATTCCCTACGGGATGTAGCCGTTAGGAGACAATTAAATGTTGTTCTTCTGTGCCACTTGCTTGCAGCAACAGACTGGTCACATCATGTTTGAAAATTGTTACGAGGGAATTTATCTTCAAGAATAAACGCCTACTGAAGGAATCTGTCCAAGTTGATTTACGGATGCATTTAGATGAAAAGTAAAGGAGTGGGGGGGGGGATTTGAGGGAGGCCATTCATCCATTTTCTGTACTGCATATCCCATTCAAGATTACAGGGAAGCTGGAACAGATCCCAGCTTGACATAATGCAACAGAGAACGCATACAAACACAATTAGAACACGTTCGTTTCAAACAGAAAGAACACATTCTAGAATTGAAACATTTTTCGACGTACACGTGACTATTAGCAAAAAAAAACAACACGGGCTTTTAAGGCACCACACACACAAACACACACACACAAACACACACACACACACACACACACCCATTTACAAAGCACATGCTCGCTTGTACCAGCAATGTAAATGTATCAATATGTCATTGATGTTTAACGTGAATACAAAAATGTTTTGAAAAGTGATTTTGCTCTTGAGGTAAAAAAAAAAATTCTATATATATATATATATATATATAAGGAGCAGGGTGTACTTGAAAATTGTATTAAAACATAGAGAAAACTAAATCCAAAACAAACAACGTCCAAAGTATCAAACAAAACACATGACTGAAGATAAACATAACACTGACCAAAACATGACTGAAACAAACATGACAGCAGCAGACAAACGGCAACAAACAAACATGACAGTAGCAAGAGCAACAATGACCCGACCCTGAGTGTTCGGGCTGGGAGTCCTTTTAAAGCACTAATTACGTAATGACCAACAGGTGTGCAGCTGCAGGGAGAGCCCTACAGTGCCACCTGTTGGTCCCAAACCGAATCATGACAATACATAAGTAAATAAAAGTTTGCCTGGAAACATTTTACAAGGTATCAAGCCATAAAGTGGACCATGAATCAGTAGAACTGACTGAAGAAGCAGTAAAAAGATAAGCCACCAAAAAAACCAAAAAAAAACACACGCACACATACAAGAACCTGCAAAGTCTGCCAAATCTTTTGTAGATCACTTATGCAGGAGTAGTGCACTAAAGGAGAAGTTGAATGCCAGGTGCCTCCTTCAGCACGGACTCATTCATTCATGTCTGCTCATCAGTATGTAAATTGGATGAACGGCTACAAAACAGCAACAAGACATTGATTGCAATACATTGAGCGAAGACAGCTTTGGTTGTAGCCAAGCGCACTTCTGTCTTTACAACTCATCCCATATGTGCAGGAGCATCATGACATCAAACCAGGTGAACTTGAAGTGATACTCAGCCATCTAATTTCGGCATTCAGCATTCTTGTATGTTGTTACTTGGCTCAAGATATCGCACATTATTGTGTGGATTGCGAAAACATTGCAACGATGTTAAAATACCCTTGCCTGGGTTGCAAAGGGCCGGACAATTCCGGTGTGAGGGAAATAAAAACCCAGGGCTATCATGAGCCGCACATCATCTCTTTATACGAGTACAGTGACAGGTTTTTTTTTTATCAATCCCATATTAGGTCACTTACAATGTCCGTTAAGCATTTCTTTTGAAATAAAACTCATGATAAATGAATTCAATGTGGGTGGGATATGAAATATAATTTCAAAGCAGAAGAATGCTAGTTAAAGAGTAACATCAGGTTAATCAATACCCACAACTGCCACGATGCTTTGGGAAGTAATCCAACCAAATCCATGTCAATATATCTTAAAAAAATGAATCCTCTTTATCAAATTAAGGGCCAGTCAGGAGCAAATATATTGAACCACCATATGATTATTAAAACTAGACCTGCAGGACACATTCTGCCGCAGGACCAATCACGAAAAGAAATTTATACACATATAAGAAGAAAAAAAAAATCACATATAAAGTAGGTTTGACATGAAAGCATTTCTTCTTTCGGTGCCTTCATGCTGTCATTGATCAAGAGATGTACCTTAATGTGCTGATACTCTTTCTCTTCCTCTTGCAGAACCTCCAGCTGCTTCAGAGCAGACTCCTGCTGGAACTCGCCACGTTCCACCTGCATGAAAATCAAGCGGTTTGAGTGCCTGCGAAAACTCTTCCGTTCAAAGTACAAGAGACGGAAGAGTCAGAATTTTAGCGCTTGTTCTTTTTTAGTATGAGCCCAACACCTTCACTCGGTGCTGGCAGGTAACATTAACAATTTGTACTTGGAAAAGTTTTCTCTTGACAAAAGTGCAATTTTGTAATTTGGCTTATCTCTTTGTTTTTTTTTTTCTTTTTGTGTGAGCCCTCTTTCCTACAAATACCCCTAGCCTAGAGCAACATGCACAAAAACCTTCGTCCTGGTATGGCTCCAAAAGCGTCTTTCTGTCTTGCAGGCATGTAGCTATACAAGTACACCCACTGTAGGATTAGTCAGTCAGAATAAACACTGCAAACAGTATTGCCTGTAACATCATATCGATAAATTTAGCCTCAGAGCCTTGACAAGATGTTTTTTTTTTT